CAGAGTGGACACCAGCCCCAGCCTCAGTGGACACTATTTCTGCAAGAGGAGAAGGAAATGCCAATTTTTTTTGCTGTGGGTGTGGTGCATGACAACCGTGAGGGATAAGAGGAGCGCGTTCCCCCACCCCTGCTAACCTGCCATCCTGCCTCTCTGCAGAAGCGCAAGGTAGAAGAGAGCGATGATGACATGGCACAAGCCAAGGTGCTGCGGCCCCTGCGGAGCTGTGAGGAGCCCCTGACCCCGCCACCCAACTCGCCCACCCCCATGCTACAGCTGATCCACGACCCGGTGTCACCGCGAGGTGTGGTAACGCGCTCGTCCCCAGGCGCTGGTCCCAGCGAGCACCACAGCGCCAGCAGGGACGAGCGGTTCAAGCGGCGCCAGCTTCTGCGGCTCCAGGCCACTGAGCGAACCATTGTGCGGGAGAAGGAGAACAACCCCAGTGGCAAGAAGGAGCTGTCAGAAGTGGAGAAGGCTAAGCTGCATGGCTCCTACCTCACCGTGACGCTCCAGCGCCCCACCAAAGATGTTCATGGCACTTCCATTGTCCCCAAGCTGCAAGCCATCACCGCCTCCTCTGCCAACTTGCAGCACTCTCCCCGTGTGGTGATGCGCCACACACCTGCCCGGATGTACCCCCGGGGTGGGGGGGAGGACGAGGCGGCTGCTGAGGAGGACGAGGAGGAGGAGGATGAAGATGATGAGAACATGGAGGAGGGAGGGGCTGCCCGCCTCAACGGCAGAGGGGGCCGGGTGCAGGAGGGTGAGGAGAGCTGGATGCAGCGCGAGGTGTGGATGTCTGTCTTCCGCTACCTCACCCGCAGGGAGCTCTGCGAGTGCATGCGGGTGTGCAAGACCTGGTACAAGTGGTGAGTATGGGAACAGGCAGTGCTGCCAGGACCACTTGTAACTCCGCAGAGCCTGGGGCCTGATGGGCAGCTAAGAGGGGAAGGGCCAAAGGATCATTCACCCCCTAACCTATCCGTGCCTTCCTCCTCTCCCCAGCACTGGCATTTTTCAGGCAGCATCATCCCACTGCCTCTTCTGTCTGTGCTTGACTGTCCCCTCGGTGGGAGATGGTCACATGGTGTAACTCAAATCCCACACCGTGTTCCTGTGAGGTGCTGGTGCTCTTTCCTCACCCGATGCCCTGTGCAGCCCTTGCCCTTCCTGGCCCCACAGCACGAGTTGAGTGAGGATGGGTTTGCTGCCTGGGAATGCCTTAAGGGGCACTGGCTGAAGACAATGCTGGCAGCAGGACAGCTGTGGATGGAGAGCTGGGAACAGACAAGGATGGGGAACTGGGTTTCTTGATGCCAAGAAGTGGGAATGGCACGGCAGGGAAGGGCTGGCACGCTTTGATCAGCAGGCATTGGGCTTGGCAGGCTGTAGGGGACGTGGCATGGCTGCTCTGGGAGTAGGGCAGCATCAGGTCCCCAGCTCTTGTGACAGAGGAGGGATTCACTCCACCTTCAGGCTCCATAACAGCTCCTGGTGATGCAGAGAGCACTGCTATGGCTGTGGGATGGGACTAGGTGGAGCATTTTGCCCCCTGGAAGCAGGGATACTGAAAATCTTTGCCGTATCTGGGGAGCAAGCAGGCTGGCAGTTGCCGTGCAGTTCTGTTACATGGCAGCAAAATTCTGCTGGAGCTGTTCTGGGTATCCTAGGTGGCCAGGCACCTTCAGCATCCTCACATGTCTGGGAAGGCCCAACCAACTTGAAGGAGTGGCTTTGTTCTATGGCTGGAGCTATGCCAGGGCTGGGGTCCTCCCAGAATGACTGCCTTTTGTTCCTGACACCCTCAGTGCTCAGCTTTCACCCTTATCCTCGTCCCCCAGGTGCTGTGACAAGAGACTGTGGACAAAGATAGATTTGAGCAGGTGCAAGTCCATCACCCCCCAGGCACTGAGTGGTATCATCAAAAGACAGCCTGTCAGCCTTGACCTCAGCTGGACCAACATCTCCAAAAAGCAGCTCACGTGGCTTGTCAACAGACTGCCAGGTGAGTGTGGGCTGGGCACTGGTCTGCTGCCAGCCTGCTCCACAGCTCCCCAGTGGCTGAAGCATAGCAAGAGGGGTACCTGCCTGCAGTAAGACTCCTGAGTTCCTGTGTCCCTTTGCTTGGGGAGCTGCTGTCATGGTTTCCTGCAGCTCTTCTCAGCGTGGAGCCTTGCTCTAAGTCCCACCTCAGGCAGGGAGAGAAGCTGTTTCCTCCTGCACCTGAGACCTGACATGCCTCAGAGCTGGCCAAGCCCAGCTGGCATCTTACATCTCTCTTTTTTTCCCCGGCAGGCCTGAAAGACCTCATCTTAGCAGGCTGTTCCTGGTCTGCAGTCTGCGCTCTCAGTACCTCCAGCTGCCCCCTTCTCAGGACCCTTGATCTTCGGTGGGCAGTAGGAATCAAGGACCCTCAGATCCGGGACTTGCTCACACCTCCAACAGATAAACCCAGTAAGCCGCTGCCACGTGGCCAAGATGACCGAGCCAGGCACAGGGCAGGAGGTGTCACTGCATCTGCACGGCGCAGCACCGTGTGTCTGATCCCGGCTTTTCCCCTTCCTCCGCAGGTCAGGACAATCGCAGCAAACTCCGCAACATGATTGATTTCCGGCTTGCTGGCCTGGACATCACTGACGCCACGCTGCGGCTGATCATCCGCCACATGCCCCTGCTCTCCCGCCTTGACCTCAGCCACTGCAACCACCTTACAGACCAGTCTGCCAACCTCCTCACGGCTGTGGGCTCTTCCACACGCAACTCCCTCACTGAGCTCAACATGGCAGGTGGGTGCTGCTGGCCTTACTGGCACGTAGCGATTTGCTCCTCCGCTCGGTGCTGGCGCTGCAGCTCAACCTTTCTCTCCTGTCCCTGCAGGCTGCAATAAGCTGACAGACCAGGCCTTGCTGTACCTGCGCCGCATCTCCAACGTCACTCTCATTGACCTGCGAGGTTGCAAGCAGATCACTCGCAAAGCCTGTGAGCACTTCATCTCAGATCTGTCCATCAACAGCCTGTATTGCCTGTCCGATGAGAAGCTGATCCAAAAGATCAGCTAGAGACCCTCCCCTGGGCAGGCTGAGGAGAAGGAAAAAAAGCCCACCCCTCTCAGAGAGCCGCTCCTCCGCCTTCCCACCTTGCCCTCCATGTCCTGCCCCTGCCTCCTCGTGGGCAGGGCCGGTACTGGCCTTGCTCAGCTGTCTTTTCTCCTCCTACCGCTGGGACTTGTGCCGATGTGGGCATTCCCCCGGCTGGCCAGTACGAGAGGAGGACCGTGCCCGCAGCAGGGAGCTCCCAAGGCGGAGGTTGTCGCAGACATCCCTGGGTGGAGAAATGGGGCGCACCCTCTTCCCCCCGCTTTTCCCCAGCTCCTTGCCTTGAAACACTTGTCACTTCCCCATTAGCACAAAGCTTGAGGCCTCTCCAAGGAGGAGGGAGCAGAGCTGGGACGGACCCTCTCTCTCGGTGCCACCACCAGCTTGAGCCCTGCTCTGAGCCCCCTCACCTGGCCCTCGGATCCCGTTCTTCCCCTGCGGTGAGGGTGAGGGCAGGAGCCCTACAGCCTGGGCGTGGTGGCAAGGCTGGGATGGAGCTTCCACCCTGGGGCTTCCTCAGAGCCCTGTGCAAGGCTAGGCTAGGGGAGCAGCCCCCAGAGCTCAGGGAGGACTCGAATAATCAGCCAAGGGTGAGTGAGTACAGGGGGAGCAGGAACTGCTGCTTCTCCCTCCCCAGCTGCCTGCCAAGGCCCAGCACTGCCGAGTGCTGAGATTTGTGTGGCAGGACTGTCCTGCTGCCTTGTCCTCTCCTCTCCCCCTGCCCCATTTTAGCTGCCGTTTTTTCCTTTGCAATGAGCGGTTGGTCCAAAGAACCTCTCTCTAGGGCAGCAGAGAGCTTTTTGCACTTTAAGAAAAAAAAAAAAAAAGCAAAAAAAAATTTAAAAAAAAAATCAGAAAAAAAAATCAAGATGTGAGGAAAAAAGAAGAGGAAAAAAAAAAAAAAAAAAAAGTTGGTATCTTTTGGGTCACTCTTTTGTTTCCCTCCCTGCCCGCGCCCGGCTGCTGCTCCTCTCCCCGGTGCATGGCACAGCGCAGCCCCGTGTGCCCCTGGGGCCCCAGAAGCAATAAGGGAGGAGAGGAGGCTGCGGGGGTGCTGTTAGTGGGGGGAGCAGAGCCCCCCACCTCTGTCCTGGTGGTGGTCGCTGTGTAAGGCAGCGGAAGAATCAGCGTTTTCCTTTTTTCCTTGGGTTCATTTGTTTCTTGATTTTCGCCACCAGAAGGACAGAGGCACGGGGAGCGGTGCGGGACCTCCCTCCTTTCCCCCTCCCCACCCCCTCTCCCCCACAGCCCCGCAGGGACAGGCGATCTACCAGTAAGCGAAGAGAGAGTTCTATATGTGAAATCACTCAGTGATTTAAAGCACCCGGACTGCTCCCGGCCACCTCCCGCAAGAACAGTTCCTATTGTTTAAGGGTTTGGTTGTGTTTTTGTTCTGTTTCGACCTCCCCTCCCTTCTCCCCCTCGGAGAAATATTGTAAATATATATTTTTTGTTGGCAATTTAGAGTCCATCTCTGATGTTTGTGCTTTAAAATTAAATGTAAGCATTAAGGGTTAAAGCAAACCATAGCGTGCGCTCTCTGCGTTGGGGCTTGGGGGGGCGCACGGCGGGGCTGCTTGTTTCTTTTTGTTCGGTTGTTTTTCGTTTGTTATTTCACCGTTGTTCTCCAAGAGGTGGTTTTGGAGATCTTTGCTCCTACGGCATTACTGCGGTGATAGGCGAGAGGGGCTGGGAGGGCCTCCCAGAACTGTTCTGTTCCTGAGGGTGGATTTTTGGAATTAAAAAAGTTGAGGAAAACGAGAACACAAAACGCAGCGTCTGAGCTCTGCCCCACGGCTGGGGGGGGGCGGTTCATCCCCCTCTGCGCCGCGCGGGCCCTCACCCCCTCCCTTCCCGCACGCCTCGGGCCCAGCCCAACGCACTTCCGGATGCGGCTACTTCCGCTTCCGGGTCGCTGCTGGGGTCGGGCCGGTGCCGGCCTCGGCCCCGCGCAAGATGGCGGACCTGGAGGCTGTGCTGGCCGATGTGAGCTACCTGATGGCCATGGAGAAGAGCCGGGCCGCGCCCGCCGCCCGCGCCAGCAAACGGATCCTGCTGCCAGAGCCCAGGTGAGTGGCGTCGGGCCGGGGCCGCCGGGCCGGGCCCTAGCGTCCCTGCCGCCCTCAGCCCCACCGTGCCCCTATCTCGGACTCTCTGGCGCCCCAGATACTATTGGGGCGCACAGGGGTACGGAGGGGAACAATGAGCCGACACTGACCCCCGGCTGCCCCCCAGCATCCGCAGCGTCATGCAGAAGTATCTGGAGGACCGGGGCGAGGTGACGTTCGACAAGATCTTTGCGCAGAAGATCGGTGAGTGGGGGCTGTGGGGCTGCAGAGGTGCTGGGTGCTGTCCTCCCCCGGTCTTCCCCGCCCTGTTGCTTCCCCCAGCGCTAACTGTCCTGGGCAGGAAGCGCCTCTTGCTTCCTTCCCGCGGCTCTGGTGGTTTCCGGCACCTCCGCCTCATGGCAGCCCCAGAGCCCTCGGTCTGCCGCGCCCTTGCCGTGTGGCACTGCGTCCCTCGGCCTGGGTGCCACACCGTGGCGCAGACACCGCTCGCAGCGCTGCCTCTACCCCAGGGTACCTGCTGTTCCGGGACTTCGCCCTCAACCAGGCTGAGGAGGCCAAGCCCCTGATGGAGTTCTACGAAGAGGTGAGATGGGGTGCTGGGGCCGGGGTGTCCTGTGATGTGCCTGGGGGAGATGATGTCCCACATGCCTGGAGGTGATGCCCTCAGCGCCCAGGGTCCTGATATCCACAAGTGCCCACGAGATGTGGTCCCCCACTGTGCACCGTGTGCGCCCTTTGTGGAGCTGTGCCCCTTCACCACGCAATCTATGCCCTTGGCAGATCAAAAAATATGAGAAGCTGGACTCGGAGGAGGAGCGAGCCACTCGGAGCCACTACATCTTTGACCATTACATCATGAAGGAGCTGCTGGCCTGCTCCCACGTGAGTGCCATGCCTCATCATGCCGCACCACAGGGGATTCCACCACCATGTCCCCATCCCACCTTCTCATGGTGATGTGGTGGTGTTCTGCCCCGCAGCCGTTCTCCAAGAGTGCCACAGAGCATGTGCAGAGCCGCCTGAGCAAGAGGCAGGTGCCCCCAGACCTCTTCCAGGTAAGCTCTGTCCATGACACGGAGGGGATGACAGAGACAGAGACAGCTGGCCTCGGATGGCAGAAGGTGGCAGTGGAGATGTGAGAAATGCCACCTAACTTCTGCAGGGAAGGGGGCAGACCTGGGTGGTACTGGGGATGTAATGCTAACCCCCGTGTTACCCCTAGCCCTACATCGAGGAGATCTGCCAGAACCTGCGTGGGAGCATCTTCCAGAAATTCATCGAGAGGTGAGACAGGAGCACAGCCCGGGGAGAGCTGTCTCTCAGGGTGCTGCAGGGCTCCTGCTGAGAAGCTCCAGTGCTGTCTGTCTCCACACCTGAGACTTGGGCTGATGTCATGCCCAGCTCTGGCCTGGGGTCTCTGTTCTCACGTGAGGGTCCTGTCCACATCTGGATCCCTTCTGCCCCACCATGCGTCTTAGAGGTCTCCCCAGGGGTCCCTCACTCTCACCCTCTCTGTGCTTCCTTGCAGTGACAAGTTCACACGGTTCTGCCAGTGGAAGAACGTGGAGCTGAACATCCATGTGAGACCTTCCTCCTTGGGATACAGGGAGGGAATATGGGTCCTGGTCCTAAGGGAGTTCCAGGGGGCTGAGGCTGGGCGTGGGACCCCCGCAGGACACACAGGGGGTAGCTACGACGGGGTGATCCCCTCTTTCTGATCCGCTCTAGCTCACCATGAACGACTTCAGTGTGCATCGCATCATCGGCCGCGGTGGCTTTGGGGAGGTCTACGGCTGCCGGAAAGCGGACACAGGCAAAATGTAATGGGGCCAGGGAGGTCTGCTTGTGATGTGAGACTGTGGTTCTGTGGGCAGGGCGGTGAGCGGTGTTGCTTTGATGATAAGCACGCAGGAAGGCCAAAGTGTTGCCATGGCTCCACCTTCCCGGGGGATACGTTGTGATGGCTGGGGGAAGGAGCTGTCTGGCCACAGGCACTGCGGCACAGGCGTGGTGGGTACAGGCAGCAGAACCCCACAGGGACTCTCTGCCCCCAGGTATGCCATGAAGTGCTTGGACAAGAAGCGCATCAAGATGAAGCAGGGTGAGACGCTGGCCCTCAACGAGCGCATCATGTTGTCCCTTGTCAGCACTGGGGTGAGGGGATAAGGGCACAGGGCAGGGGGTGACGTGGGCTGCTGAGGCACCGCTGGCTCAGCATGACATCTTCTCCCTGGCCAGGATTGCCCATTCATCGTGTGCATGTCGTATGCTTTCCACACACCTGACAAGCTCAGCTTCATCCTTGACCTAATGAATGGTGAGAGCCCTCTAGCTGCTCCCCAGCCCCCTGGGACCTTGCTATGGCATTCCCAGGGTGACTGCTGGTGCCTGTTGCTGCAGGGGGGGACCTGCACTATCACCTGTCCCAGCATGGCGTCTTCTCGGAAGCAGAGATGCGCTTCTACGCATCAGAGATCATCCTGGGCCTGGAGCACATGCACAGTCGTTTTGTGGTGTACCGTGACCTTAAGGTGACCGTCCCCCTGAGCACCCACCCTCTGTGTGGGCTTGTAGAGGCCCCACAGTCCTCCAGCAGGGCACCCCACATCCAGCAGGAAGCCCCCAGGCACCTCTGGGACCCTGCAGGCGCCCCTGCATCCTATGTGTCACCCATCCCACCATGCACAGGCACCCCCAGCCCAGGTGCCACCCATGCCCATGGGCTGGGCTGGGGCTCAGGGGTTGCTCCATGTCCCGGCAGCCAGCAAACATCCTCCTGGATGAATTTGGACACGTCCGTATCTCAGACCTGGGCCTGGCCTGTGACTTCTCCAAGAAGAAACCCCACGCCAGTGTGTGAGTGTGCCTGCCCCCCCCAGTGCCCTCTGTGACTCCTGGGCGCAGCCCTGACCCAGCTCTGTGCCCCCAGGGGCACCCACGGCTACATGGCCCCAGAGGTGCTGCAGAAGGGGGTGGCGTACGACAGCAGCGCCGACTGGTTTTCACTGGGCTGCATGCTCTTCAAGCTGCTCCGCGGGTGAGTGCACACACAGAGGGCACTGGGAGGGCTGGGCACCAGGGGCACGGCTGAGCCCCACTCCTGTGGCTGCAGGCACAGCCCTTTCCGGCAGCACAAGACAAAGGACAAGCATGAGATCGATCGCATGACCCTCACCATGGTGAGCCGGGGGTCCTTGGGACACTGCACTGCAGCACTTGCATGCCTGCGCGGCTGTGAGCAGCTGAACCTTTGCCTGCAGGCTGTCGAGCTGCCCGACTCCTTCTCCCCTGAGTTGCGCTCGTTGCTTGAGGGGCTGCTTCAGCGTGACGTCAACCAGCGGCTGGGCTGCATGGGGCGTGGGTGAGTCCCAGCAGATGTGGGGAAGGGGCCACGGGCGGCATCACCGTGGGCAGCACTGCCGCATTCACCCTGCATTGCCCCGCAGCGCTCAGGAGGTGAAGGAGGAGCCCTTCTTCAAAGGCCTGGACTGGCAGATGGTGTTCCTGCAGAAGGTGAGAGGGGCACGGGGCACAGCCGCAGGGCACGGCCGGGCACCCGCTCACTGCCTCTCTCCTGCCCGCAGTACTCCCCGCCTCTCATCCCGCCCCGAGGTGAGGTGAATGCAGCTGATGCCTTTGACATCGGCTCCTTTGATGAGGAGGACACAAAGGGCATCAAGGTATGGGGCTGGGGGGCTGGCACAGCAGCAGGGGAGTGGCACGGGGCAGGCCCTGACCCCCGCCTCCTCGCCAGCTGCTGGAGAGCGATCAGGAGCTGTACCGCAACTTCCCGCTCACCATCTCGGAGCGCTGGCAGCAGGAGGTGACCGAGACCGTCTTCGACACCGTCAACGCGGACACGGACAAGCAGGAGGCACGCAAGAAAGCCAAAAACAAGCAGCTGGGCCACGAGGAGGGTGAGTGGGGCTGGGTGCCCCCTGTGCTGTCCCCGGTGTCTCTGCTGGCACCGCACAGTGGTGGCAGTGCTCGGCACTGAGCCTTTCCCCTGCGTTGCTGCGGCCCCAGACTACGCCATGGGCAAGGACTGCATCGTACACGGGTACATGTCCAAGCTGGGCAACCCCTTTCTGACACAGTGGCAGCGCCGCTACTTCTACCTCTTCCCCAACCGGCTGGAGTGGCGTGGGGAGGGCGAGTCGCCGGTAAGGCGGGCGGGGGGGGTGTGGGGTTCAGCCGTTGGGGCTCGGGCTGAGTCTGTCCCCCCCAGCAGTCCCTGCTCACCATGGAGGAGATTGACTCGGTGGAGGAGACTCAAGTGAAGGAGCGCAAGTGCATCCTGCTCCGCATCCGTGGCGGCAAGCAGTTCGTGCTGCAGTGCGATGTGAGTGTGCCGTGGGCCCTCCTGGGAGGGCTGCCCCAAGCCGCCGCGTGGCACGAGGGTGGCTTGAGGGAGCTCTGCTCTGAGCCGTGTGCTTCCGCACAGAGCGATCCCGAGCTGGTGCAGTGGCAGAAGGAATTGCGGGATGCCCAGCGCCAGGCCCAGCAGCTGCTGCAGCGGGTGCCACGCATGCAGAATAAGCCACGCTCACCTGTGGTGGAGCTCAGCAAAGTGCCCTTCCTGCAGCGCTCTGCCAATGGGCTCTGACCCTGCGCCCTGCCCCCCCTTCCCACCCTACTTCTAATTTATTGGGTTGGGTCCCGCTCCTTCGCCCTGTCCCTGAGCAGAGCTCTAGGAGGACACCTGGTGCCAGTGCCATCCCCGTGCCCACGGTAGGGCACAGCCATGGCGCCGCTGTCCTGAAGCAGAGCTGGCACTGGACATGCAGCACTGCTCCCTGCTCCCTGATCCGGCTCAGATGAAGGCAGTCCCGTGCCCCCCTCCCGTCTGCTGTCCTGCTCCCGGTCCAGTGCCCCCTTCGCCACCAGTGTGTGCCAAATGGGGCACCGCCCTGTGCCCCGTGTGCCCCAGCCCGGCTGTGCCCGTCTGTGGGTGCCAAGTCCTCGGTGTGAATGACGGTGTGCATGCGTGCCCAGGGGGCGCCCTGTAAATACTGTGCCATGGGCCCCCTGCGCCCCCTGAGCCGGCGGGTGAGCAGGGAGGAGGCAGCTGGGGAGGAGAAGCGGGGACACAGAGTCTGTGCCCGTGACCCCAGCGCATGGCACCAAGCGCTGTGCCCCCCGGCTCTCCCCGCTGTGCCCGCTAGCATCTGTAAATATGAGCGTGGGGAGGAGCAGCGGGCAGGGCACGGCTGCGAGTGAAGGTTGAATGAGGAGAAACGTGAGAATGCATTAAAAAAAAAAAAAAAAAAGAAAGAAAAGAAAAAATAAGGGGAAAAAAAAGTGGTTTTTTTTTTTTTTTTTTATAATAAAAATGTGGAAAACCACAGCCAGGCTCCGATGTCAGCAGGGGGGCACAGGGACCCGCCAGGGGAGCGGGGAGCGCATCGCCTTGCTGTCGGGGAGGACGGGGGGGGGGGGGGGGGGAGGTTACCCGGTGCCGGCCCCGCCCCGCGCCGCCGCGCTGCGATGCGCCGCGCCACCGCCGCCCCCGCGCGCAGCCATTGCGGGCAGGCGCGGAGCTGCCAGTCGGCTCCCTTGCGCTGTCCGGCCCGGCCCCGTCCGGCCCGGGCCCCGGGGACATGGTGCGGGAATGGCCCGCGCCGCAGACACCTTCCTGCTGCACCGCCTCGTGTGGCACAACCGGCACCAGGCGCTGGACAGTGCGCTGCGCTCCGGCACGGTGCGCGCCGGGTGCGGGGGGGGTGCGGGCACGGCACCGGGCACGGCGCGGCGGGGGGGATGCGGGCGGCAGCGGTACAGGGACCAGGAGGAACGGGGGGCGCCGGCAGTACGGGTGGTACTGGGGAGAGAGGGGAAATAGGGTCTCTGGAGCGCCGAGGCGGCAGCGCGGCGGGTGCAGGGAAAGGGGAGAGCGAGGGGGAGAACGGGACGTGGAGACCGGAGGGAGGAACTGGGGGCACCGGACGCGGTGCCGGGGGGGTGAGGGGACGGGGAGAAGTAGGGGCGCTGAGGGACGGGAGGTCTTGGGGTCGGGGTCTGCGAGGCTGGGGATGAGGGCGTGGGAGAGCGGGGGCACGCGGCTGGCACCGGGCTGCGGGCGGCCGGGTGACGGTGCGCGTGCCCCAGCACGACGTGGAGTTGACGGACCCCCGAGGGCGGACCCCGCTGGAGCTGGCCGTGTCCCTGGGCCACCTGGAGTCGGTGCGGGTGCTGCTGCGGCACAACGCCAACGTGGGCCGGGAGAACGCCAACGGCTGGACAGGTGTGTGGGGGAGTTTGGGGTGCAGGGATGGCGGCGGCACCTGGCTGATGGCAGCTCCCTGCCCCACAGTGCTGCAAGAGGCAGTGAGCACGGGGGACCCCGAGATAGTGCAGCTGGTGCTCCAGTACCGTGACTACCAGCGGGCAACGCGGCGTCTTGCTGGCATCCCCGAGCTGCTCAGCAAGCTGCGCCGGGTATGGCCGGGTGTTGGGGCGGTGGGTGGGCACCCCTGGCACCGGGCACCCGTGGCACCGGATACCCCAGAATGGGTGCTCCAGGCACCTCTGTCACTGAGCTCCTGTGGCACCAGGTACCCCTAGTACCAGGCGTGCACCCAGCATGAGCGCCCCCATCGCTGGAGCACCCCCAGATCTGGACACGTCCAGAACTGGAGGCTCTGCGTGGGAATTAGAGGGTGCAGAGGCAGCTGGAAAGACCCTGGGTACCCCATCTCCCCCAGGACTCCCTGTTTTTTCCCCTCAGTCCCCTTCCCAAGCTCCCCAAGGGGCCCCGCGGGCCTCCCCGACACCCAGCAGGGATCTCCGAACCATAGCCCTCGTGACCCCTTCGTCTCCTTCAGGCCTCTGACTTCTACGTGGAGATGAAGTGGGAATTTACCAGCTGGGGTGAGCAGGAACAAGGACTGGGGCGAGGATGGGGGATGGGGATGAGGTCTGGGTGGGGGTCACCCCCCGTGACGCCACTGATGGGTGCTGCTGCCCGCAGTGCCTCTGGTGTCCAAGGTGTGCCCCAGTGACGTGTACCGCGTCTGGAAGCGGGGTGAGAGCCTGCGGGTCGACACCACACTGCTGGGCTTTGAGCACATGACGTGGCAGCGGGGCCGCCGCAGCTACATCTTCAAGGGAGAAGGTTCGGCTCCAGCACCCCAGAAAAACCCCGGGACCCACACAAATCCCAGATCGCCCATAAAGGCCTCGGGTACCCCTGGAATGTGGCATTCCCCAAGGCCAGGGGTTGCCTGTGTGCTGCAGAGTGCCGAGTGCTGACTCCATCCCCTCGTGCAGAGGAGGGAGCGGTGGTGATGGAGGTGGACCACGACAAGCAGGTGGTGTACACTGAGACGCTGGCCCTGGCCCTGCACGAGCCTGACCTGCTGCTGGCGGCCATGCAGCCCTCAGAGGAGCACGTGGCTGGGCGGCTGACGTCGCCCATCGTCTCCACGCACCTGGACACCAGGAACATTGCCTTTGAGCGGTGTGTGCCACGGGGCAGGTGGGGCTGGAGGGCTGCTGGACACAGGCCTGATGCCACCCTCTGGCTGCGCACCCAGGAACAAATCAGGGATCTGGGGATGGCGCTCGGAGAAGATGGAGGTGGTCAGCGGCTATGAGGCCAAGGTGCCACTGGCAGGGTGGGGTTGACCCCATTCCTTCCAAATCCCATCCGCATTCCATCCTCTTCCCTCTCCCCATCCCCGCCTCAATCCCATTCCCACCTCCATCCCCCTCCATTCTCATCCCCATCCCAACTCATCCCATCCCATTCCTTCCCCAACCCTATCTCATCCCCATCCCACACCCATCCTGTATCCATTCCAATCCCCATCCATATTCCACTCCCATCCTATTGCTATCCCGTCCCCAATCCATCCAATCCCTATCTCCATCCCATTCCCTTTCCAGACCGTCTCGTCCTCTCCTGCAGGTGTACAGCGCCAGCAATGTGGAGCTGGTCACCAAGACGAGGACGGAGCACCTCTCAGACCAGGACAAGTCTCGCACTAAAGGTGTCGCTGCGCCACCCACCCTGGGCGGGTACCAGGCTGGCACTGTTGCCCCGTGCCCACCCACACCGGGTCTTTCCCCACAGGCTCCCGCACCCCCTTCCACTCCTTCCTGGGCCTGGCACAGCAGCACGGCACCCACAATGGGGTGAGTGGCGGGCAGGAGGGCTGGGGGACGGCGTGGGGCTGTGCTGAGCTGCGCGGGGCCATACCTCCCCCCAGGCACCCGCACCCCCAGCCGCCAGCCCCACCAATCCCACGGCCATCACCCTCGAGGAGTACTTTGACCCACACTTCGACCTGGAAGCACGCAACATCGGGCGCCCCATTGAGGTGTCCAGCAAGGTGCAGAGGTGGGCGCTGCACTGGAGGGAAGCAGGGGAGCGGAACCGTGCCCGTGCCCATACCGCTGCCCGTGCAGGTTCAAGGCTACGCTGTGGCTCTGCGAGCAGCACCCGCTGTCGCTGGCCGAGCAGGTGACGCCCATCATCGACCTGATGGCCATCTCCAACGCGCACTTTGCCAAGCTGCGGGACTTCATCACCCTCAAGCTGCCCCCTGGCTTCCCCGTCAAGATTGGTGAGGGCAGGGGTGGGGGGGATGGGGCTGTAGCGAGTGGAGCTGCTGACCCGCCGTTCCCCCCAGAGATCCCCCTGTTCCATGTCCTCAACGCCCGCATCACCTTCAGCAACCTCTGTGGCTGTGACCAACCGCTAGGCTCCGTACGGGTCTGCAACCCCACTCAGCCCCCCGGTGCCAGGGCGGCTGGGCCTGGAGGTGGGGGGGAGAGGGGGGGGGGAATGGGATGGGGTTGGGTTGGGTGGATAATGATGTGGGGCCACAGTGCGGATAGGATGAGGATGGAGATGAGATGAACTGAGGGTAGGATGGGGATGGGGATGGGGATGGGGATGGGGTGGGACGGGATGAGGATGGGACAGGGTGTTGTGGGGTGGGGTTTAGATGGTATGAACGGGGATGGAGGTGGGAATGGGGTGAGCCCACCAGAGGGGCAGTGACGGGTTGTAGGCGGGAACAGAGACGGGGATCCCCTCGGGTCGGTGCCGGGGGTGCCCAGCGGTGTGCCGCTGTAGGATGGCCGTTCCCGTGCGAGGTGGAGCCGGCGGTGTTCGAGGTGCCGCCGGGATACACGGTGCTGGGCGCGGGGCGCAGCGAGCCGCCGCGGGACGAAGACGACGACCTCCTGCAGTTCGCCATCCAGCAGAGCCTGCTGGACGCCGGCACCGAGAGCGAGCAGGTGGGAGCGCTCCCCGCCAGGCCGCGCCCACCGCGAGGCCGCGCCCACCGCGAGGCCACGTCCCAGCCCCGCTCCCCGCAGGTGACCGTGTGGGAAGCGCTGACCAACGCCCGCCCGGGGCCGCGCCCGCCGCCCTACGACGAGGAGCTGCAGCTGGAGCGGTGCGTGAGGCTCCGCTCCCGGGGCTCGGGGGGGCGGAGCGGCGGCAGGAGCGGCGCGGGGTCCGAGGGGGCGCGGTCACAGCGCTGTCCCGCAGGGCGCTCCAGGAGAGTCTGCTGCTGCAAGCGGGGCCCGGCCCGGCCGACGGCGAGACCGCCCCCAACCCCGGCTACGGCGGCTTCGCGGAGCAGCTGCGCTTGGCCATGGCTCTGTCGGAGCGCGAGCAGGAGGAGCGCGAGCGGCGGCGGCGGGAGGAGGACGAGGAGCTGCAGCGCATCCTGCGCCTCTCGCTCACCGACAAGTAGCGGCCCGGAACGGGGGAGCGGCGCCCGGCGCTCCCGGAGCTGAGCTGCTCCCCCGTCCCCCGCCTCGCCCCAGGGGAGGCGGCTCCCGTCGGATGTACATGGACATATACAGAGCTTCATCGACAGCCGCGTGTGGCCTTTGCCTGGGGCGGGGCGGGGCCTGCAGCAGGGGGCGGGGGCGGCGGGCCGGAGGCGTGCCTTGCAGCAGGGGGCGGCCCGGGGTCCCTCCCTCCCATTCCCCAAAGTTCTGCCCCGTGCCCCCGCCGCCCGCAGGGAAGTCCCGACACCGGGCGGGGCGGGGCCGTGCCCGCTGCCCCTCCCGGGCCGTTCCGTGCCTGCTGCGGGCGGGGCCGTGACGGCGCTTCCTGGACGGGGCATGGCGTTGGTCACCGTGAGGCGGGCGCCGGGCTCCGCCGGGGTTCCCCCCGTGGTGAGTGCGGCCGGGAGCCGCCGGGAGCGGGGGGGGAGCGCCGTCGAACGGGGAGGGTCGGAAGGTGCCGCCAGATCGGGCTGGGGCAGTCCCCGTTGTCGTCGTCGTCCCCCCACTCGCGAGCGCTTCACCCGGGGGAACGGGGTCGAGACCCCCCCCCGAGCAGCCTGGAGCTCTCGGCCGGCAGCGGAACCCCCCTTGCCGTGCCCGTGCCGCAAACGGCGGGGGGTTCGCGTCGTGCCCGAGCCGCCGCCAGGTTGGCCGTGCTCACTCCCCGCGTCGTGCTTTGCAGGAGGACGATGCGCCCAGGCGCGGCCACCTGCAGCGGCGGTGAGATGGGGGCACCGGGGGCTAAGAGGTACTGGGCGGTGATCCCGTCCCGCTCACGTATCTCCTGCCCCAGGCAGAGCTTCGCGCTGGTCCGGGGGGCCGCGCTGCTGCTGCCTGCCGAGGAGCCGCCAGCCTCTGGACCGTCCCCCGCCGTGCCCCCCGGGCGGCAGGAGCGACACCTGCAGCTCATGATGCAGCTGCTGAGATCGCAGGACGCCATCCAGCTGGTGGGGCCTCCACCGCGATGGTGTGGGGTTGGGGACGGTGATGAGACGGGATGGGGAATGGGTTGGGGATGGGATGGGGACGGTGGCAGGGATAGGAGCAGTGTGTAAGGAGGATGCAGATGGGAATACAAATGGGATGGGGATGGCAAAAGGGACAGGATGGGATGAGGATATGTGTGCTGATGGCGATGGGAATGGGGACCGAATGAGGATGGAAATGGAAACAGAATGGGAATGGGACGGGAGTGGAAGTGGGGGACAGGATATAGATAGTGATGGCAGTGGGGTTGGAATGTGTTAGGAAAGGGATGCAGATGATGATGGGGTGCGGATGAATTGGGGACAGGGACAAGACTGGGATGGGGTATATGGAAATGGGATGGCAATAGCGATGGGGGTGTGCTGGGATCCAGCCTGGCCCAGCCCCTTGTCCGCCTGGGGACACCCACTCAGGCCCCAACCTCAGGCAGTGCGGCTGGAGTCAGCGCAGCCACAGCGGGTGCGGTACCTGCTGGTGGTGCGGCCAGAGGAGGAGGGTGCCGAGGGACAGACAGCACTGCTGGGAGTGGACTTCCCACACGAAGGGTGAGCGGGGCTGCGGGGTCAGGGGGACGGGTGGTGGTCACACTCTGACCCCTGCCTGCCCCAGGGCCGACTGCTGCACCCTGGGCATGGTGCTGCCCCTCTGGAGCAACACCCAGGTCTTCCTCGATGGTGATGGGTAAGGAGCGAGTGGGGTGGATGGGGTCTGCTGGAAGGGGTGCAGCAAGAGTGCCCACCCTGAGCCACGTGTGTCCCTGTGGCGCCCAGGGGGTTTAGTGTGACATCCGGGGGGCAGACGCGCATCTTCAAGCCCATCTCCATCCAGACCATGTGGTGAGCCGGCTGTGGGCATGGGGACGTGGGCACTGCCACGGGGATGGGGATGTGTGCATTACTGTTTTGGACAAGGGCTCAGGATTCAAGGGTGTGGGGCAGCGTCATGGGCACCATGACCAGAGACGAGTCGTGCTGGGCTCGAGGGGACGTGGTGCTGGGGAGGGGCTGGCATGGCTGCAGCCATGGAGCAGAATCGATGTACCAGTGCTTGTGTCCAGGGCCGTGCTGCAGGAGCTGCACCGTGCCTGCGAGCTGGCAGCCCAGGGTGGGCACATCCCAGGGGGTCCAGCGCTGGCCTGGGTGCAGGAGTACGCAGCAGCACTGGACTCGGAGCAGAGCTGCCTCAATGAATGGCTGGCCATGGCCGACTTGGAGTCCGTGCGGCCTGGCTTGCTGCTGCCCACAGAGCCAACAGAGCGCGCAGTGCGGGCACTGCTGCGGGACGTGCTGACATCTGCTGACCTGGAGAGCATCACCTCCAAGGAGGTGAGTGCTGGGGGGGACGAGGGGGTGACACAGGGGTGCCATCACCATCCCTCACTCCTTGGTGGGTGCCAGGTGAGGACAGAGCTGGAGCGGCGCATGGGGCACAGCCTGGAGCAGCACAAGGACTTCATTGACAACGAGATGCTGCTGGTGCTGGCGCAAATGGACCGGCCTTCACATGTCTTCCCACACATCTACCTGGTGGGCATGGGATGGGCTGTGGGGTACCGCTATTCCCGCCCATCCCACAGCATCACCGCCATCTTAGGGCTCTGAGTGGAATGCAGCCAACCTGGAGGAGCTGCAGCAGAACTGGTGAGCATGGGTATGAGATGGCAGTGGTGGTGGGCAATGGGACATGCGTATGGCCTCAATGCTCGCTGCCCCACAGTGTGACCCACATCCTGAACGTGGCACGGGAGATTGACAACTTCTTCCCAGCACTGTTCAACTACATGAATGTGCGGGTATACGACGAAGAGACGGCCCAGCTGCTGCCCCACTGGAATGACACCTTCCTTTTCCTCTCTGACATCAAGTTAGTGGGAGCGGAGGGTGCTGTGGGGTGCCAGGGGGCATCTTGGTGGCTGGGAGCTTTGGGGACAGTGGGGTCCTGGGGCACTGAGAATGACATGGCTGTGGGGCAGGGGGGACGCTGGCGGCTTTGAGAGCACTGTGAGAACTGGAAGCAGGGGGAGGCACTGGGAGAACCGGAGGCCTTAGGAGCAGTGCGGGGCAGTGTCCTCGGAGCGCTGGGGACACAGGTGGCACTGGGAAGCCGCTGGGTCCCCAGGAGCTGCATCGCAGTGAGGTTACACGGCAGGGCTCGCGGGGGCCGGGCGTTGGTGCACTGCCGCATGGGGCTGAGCCGCTCGGCAGCCACAGTGCTGGCCTACGCCATGAAGGAGTTCGGGTGGTCCCTGGAGCGGGCGTTGCGCCACGTCCGGCGCTGCCGTCCCGGCGTGCAGCCCAACCCCGGCTTCATGCGCCAGCTCGACTTCTACCAGGGCATCCTGAACGCCAGGTGGGTACAGCGGGCCGGGCACGCTGCGGCCGCGCCCCTCTCGGGGGCGGTGGGCTGTAGGACGGCGTACCTGGGGGGGCAGGCGGGGTCCCGCTCCGACGGCAGCAGCCGGGACTCCGTGCGGACGGGGCTGCGGGTGACCGCGGTGCTCGTGTGCAGCCGGCACAGCAGCTTCTGGGAGCCGCAGGCGGCGGAACGGGCGCCGGAGCCGGAGGAAGCCGTGCCGTGGGACGACGGGGCTCTGCCCCCGTCCCCATCCGCGTCCTCACCGCCCCCCGAGGAGGACGGCAGGCCGGGGCTGGTGGGGGCCGCCCGGCGTCCCCGCATCTCCCTGTGTGCCGTCATGCGGAGCATCAGCCAGATGGAAACCCCCGAGAACCTCGGGGAGCCCCTGGGCGGGGAGGTGAGCGCTAGGGGGCGGGGGACAGCGGGGCTGCAGGTGGGTGACGGTGGGTGTGGGGGGAACAGTGGAACGCACGGCTCCTTCTGGAGACTCCCGCTCCCACAGGTGCCCGAAGGCGGCCATGGCCTGGGGGACACGGAGGGCTTGAAGGCGGCCCCACAAGGACCGCGGCCCAGGTCCCGGCCGTGCCGCGTGGTTCGCCAGGCCAGCGTGGATGGAGACGGCGTACCTGCGGAGGAGCACAGCCCTACGGAAGGCTCCGCCCCCACCCGGGAGCCCGGCCCCCCCGACGCTCCGTAGCCCACGGGGGCACCGGGCAGAGCTCCCACGCGACAGCACTGCGAGGCGCGGCCTGGCTCTGATGGGGGCGGGGCCCGGGGAAACCACGCCGCTCTGTACGCACTTCGTGTCACCGCAGGGCCGCATCGCACGGCACTGCCGCTATCACCAGCACTCACCGGCCACAGAATAAACCTCGAGAAGGGATGGCAGCGATGTGCAGAGCTGTGTCTGCCGGGGAGCGGTGGGACGGCACCGTCAGGAGGGCTCAGAATGAGCACGTGACTGCGCCCCAGCCCCGCCGCCGCACACTACAATTCCCAGCAGGCCGTGCGTGCGGCCACCGGGCCCGCCCCGCTCTGTCGTTTGCGGGGCACGACGGGAAATGTAGTCGCGGCGCCGCGGCGCCATCTTACGAGCGACGCAGGCGGGCGCCTTCCCCGGTTGCCGTGGGAACCAGGCGCCGGCCTCGGCTCGAGCAATTAACGCAATTAGCGCACTCACTGCTTTATTCACCCAGCAGCGGCCGCCCGGGCTGCGGCGCTGCGTACCGGGACCTCGGCGTCGTACCGGAGCCGCCGTCTTGCCGTCCGCTCACAGACCGTACTCGTGCCACAGGCTGCGGGCACAGCGCACGGTCAGCCCGCCGCCCCGCTCCCGCCCCGCTCCCGCCCCGCTCCCGTCCCGCACCTGTACGTGACCGCAGGGTCGTCGCGGTGCTCCAGAAGGGCGTCGCGGATCGTGGCCGGCGGGTTGAGTCCCAGCGCCCGCGCCCGCTCCCAGCGCTGCAGCCGGGTGATGCCTGCGGGGGGAACGGCCGTGAGCGGCGGGGATGGGGTGAGGGGTGGGTTGGGGGTCGGTGTGCGACGGCTCACCGGTGCACGGCCCGTACTCCCAGGCCAGATCGAAGCGTCGCAACATCTCCAGCAGCTCTCGCGGGGCCTCGCGCGGCGGGGCAGAGGGGTCCCGGGCGTCGTCCTGCGCGGGGTGGGGGGGGGTGGGCGGGACCGGGGCCGGCGGGACCACCCGGTGGCGCCCCTCTCCGCCGCGCCGCCGCCGCGCTCCGCTCCGCTCTTTGCCGCCGGCGCGTGTCTGCGCGCGGTGCCGCCGCGGGAAGCTGTCGGTGATCCGTCCGGCGCGCTCCATAGCCTGCAGGACGGCGGCGGCGGCGGCTTCAGCCACGCACGTTTCCCCCCGGCCCCGCGTTTACCTCCCGCCGCCCCCCCCACTCACCCCCCGTCGCTTTCCCGTCCCCGTCCGGCAGCGCCGCCCGGCCGCCCTCCCGCCGCTGTCGTCCCGTGGGCAGCGGACGAGGCGGTTCGGTTTCGGTTTTGGTTCGGGTGTTTTTCTCTTTGCTTTGGGGGGTGTGGTTTCTCTTTAATCGTTTTTCTTGGTCTTTTTTTTGTTTTGTATTTTTTTGGCCGGTCGGGCCGTTCTGTCTCGGTTATTCTGTCAGGTCATTCATTGGCGCTTCGCTTTTTGCACCTTTTCGGTTGTTTACGTCGTTCACCATTGGTCGGTTGGTTCGTTGGTGTTTTTTTTTTCTCAGTGTTTCTTTGCGAGTTGCTGTTTTTTGCTCGTTCCTTTTTTTATTTTGCAGTCGGTTCATTCGCGGCGGCTCTTTTCGGTTCGTTTGCTTTTATTCACACATTTCTCCCCGGGGGGCACTCAGGGCGCAGTCCGCGCCAGCGCAGGGTTGTGCAGCACGAAGCGGCACAGCCCCGGCAGCCGGAGGTACCCCAAATTCTCTTGCAGCCGCTGCATCCCCCGGTTCCCTACGGCCGTGTGGCCATACATCGGGAAGCCGCGGCCGTGCGCCCGCCGGGCAGCTATGATCGTCAGCGCCCGCATCAGTCCGCGGCCCCGCTGGGAGGGCACCGTGTAGCCGTGCGCTCCGGATGCAAAGCCGTCGCTCAGCATCCAGCTCACGAGATCCCCGGCCGGGTCCTGAAGGCATAGGTTGGGGAACCGGCGCAGCAGCTCCCCCAGGTAGCGCCGGCTCCACGCGTTCCCCCCGTATGCCCACGTTGAGTCCAGCAGCTCCACGTGCGCCGGGCTCAGTGTGCCCAGCTGCAGGTCAGGGTCCAGCCTGCAAGGTGATGTTGGGTGTTGTGGGGAGGGGAATGGGACAGGAGCCAGGGGGCGAGTGGGGGTGGGGTTGGGGACATGGATGGGACAGGTTAGCGTTAAGGTTATGGTTACAGTTAGGGTTAAGGTTAGGATGGGGACATGGCCATGGATTGGAATGGGACTGAGGCCTGACCATGGCTGGGGATGGGATGGAGCTGAGGACATGCGTGGGATGGAGCAGGGATGGGCTAGAGTTACCATTAGTTACATTTAGGATTGGCATTAGAATGATGACATGACCACGGATGGGTGTGAGATGGGGACAGGGCTTGAATGGCTGCTGGATGGGATGGAGCAAGAATGAGCTCGGGAGAGGGTTGTGGACAGGAATGGGATGGGGTATAGGACAGGGACTGGAATGGAAACAGGACAAGGACACAGAAGGGAATGGGAACAGGGATGGAGACACAGAAGGAGATGGGGCTGAGGCTCACTGTGGCTCTGGTAGAGTGCTGGGGTCGGTGTGCAGGTAGGTGTAGTACTCAGTCACCTCCAGGTCTATGCCCTTGGCCAATGCAATGTCCTGGGACACCGTCAGCACGCCATCCTGCAGCCCTGGGGACGGCAGCGGCAAGGGCTCTGCTCCCCTGTGTTCCCCTGTGTTCCTGCCCTCCATGCCCCACACATTCCCAGCACCACCCGTTCCTGACACAACCACCCCCGCTCCCGTCACTGCTCGTTCCTCCCGTGTTCCCGTGGTTGTCCCCACAGCCACCGAAGATGTGGAAAGCGGAGTCCCAACGCAGGCAGCCCGGGCTCTCCAGCAGGGCGCGGTAGGCACCCACATCCCAGTAGAAGGCGCTGCACAGGTTCCTGTAGCTGTCATTCCGCGGCGCCTGTGGGGCGGGAGGCTGAGCCCCTCCAACACGGGCATGGGGCCCCTCCCTCCCCACAGCCCCTCCGGCCACCTCTCCTCTCTGCCGCGCCAGCACAGCACCGAAGTTGGGCCAGGCATCCACTGCCACCTCGAAGTCCCCAGGGTTGCCACGGTTGATGTTCAGCACAGCCCCGTACACCTGCAAAGCCCAGCACCGTGCAGCCCAGCTGTGGCAAAGATGGGCTGCCCTTGAGCAGGTGGCAGAGCTCAGGCAGGTTGGGGTTGGCTGGGGCAGGCTCATGGTGCTCGAGAATGGCCCAGCAGATGTGTGCCCCGGGGGTGTCAGGGAGGGAACGGGGTGGCCCACGACCCCCATGGTGGAGGGGCAGCTGTGGGTGACTCACCGGCAGGGCACGAGGCAGGCTGCTGCGCAGGGCGGCCTCCAGGCGCTGCAAATGGGCCGGGCACGTCAGGATCTGCATGGCCCTGCCAAGGAGTCAACGGTGAGGGGACCCTCAAGCACCCCATCCCCATTGCCGTTACTCACCTTGTGGCTGCGGGTCCCTGTGGGCTGTGGGCAAGCAGTGATGGTGGTGTGTCCCAAGGCTGCCAGTGGCCGTCACGGGTGGGCGACTGCCCTTTGGACAGAGTGTTCCTGGGGGTGGTGATGGGCAGGGTCCATCCTGCTGGGTGCAGGGCACGTGGCACCCCGCTGCCTCACATATCCTCAATCGGGATAGGGACCTGGGGGTCCCCATGCCCTCACTGTGATGTTGACGGGGACACCCATAGCCCTGCTGTGATGGTGACAGGGTTGGCCGTGAACTGAGCCCTGGTTGCCATGGGGGTCACCGATCCCATCACCACCAGGTGGTACAGGGGTCCAAGTCCCATACCCTGGTGGCACGTTGGTCGGCCCCCAATCTCATCCGTGTCTACACGGCACATTGATGCCCAGTCCTACCCCGGGTGTCTCTGCCCCTACTCAGGGCATTAAGAACCCCCCCACCTCCACCCTGGCACGTGGCAGGCTTCTATGGGATGCCAAACCCCATCCTCAGTGGGGCTGTGGGGGCACAGAGGAAGCGGTGCTGACGGGCCCCTCCACGCACGGCAGGGCCCACGCAGCCGTGTCCCTGTGGGCAGCTCTTCAGGGCCCCTCTGCTGGGGGACACGGGCCAGGGGGCAGAGGCACTGGAGAAAGGCTTTTATTTGTTAATACAAGAATAGATCTTCTGCAATAAATACCCTAATAAATAACATCTCCAATAAATAAACACGCATAGACGCACCGAGACGGCGGCCCTGGGGCTCTGCCCCGGCCCCGCCCCCAGAACAAGCCACGCCCCCAGGGCCAGTGGGCGGGAGCCGCGGGTTGCTAGGCAGCGGTGGTGACGGGGGCGGAGCTTCGGGCACCCAGCTGTGCTCCTGGCGGGTGGGCGGGGCTTACTGCACTGGGGGCGGGGCCTATTCCTATGCAGGGGAGGGTTTGGTCCGTTCGTGGCGAAGCGGAGCTTACTGCTGCCGGGGGGCGGGCCAGGAGAGCGTGGCTCCCAGCCCTACAGGGTAATGGGTGGCACAGCGCGGCCACGGGGACGCCACGGTGTCACCACCCCTTGCGTCAGTGCACTGCAAGGTGATGGCAGGGTGGCACTGGCTGCAGTTGGGGGCAGGAGGCCGCCCCCCGAGGCACGGCAGGGTGATGAGACACCATGGGAACCCTCTGGGGCCGAGTGCCTGTCCCTTAAGGTACTGCGGGGCGATGTGGGGAGGTCTGTGGGTCTGGGAGCCCTGTCCCTTAGGATTTTGCGGTCAGGAGCCCCATTAAGGCACGGTGGTGACGGGGGGATGCCGGGTAGCTTTGGTGGCACTTCGGGATCAAGATCACCATCCCTTGAGACCTAGAGGTGATGGTGGGGACATGGACTGGCTTCAGTGGCACTTTGGTGAAGTGGGAATCCTATCTGTCAAGGCACAGCAATATGATGGTACGTATTTGGGGTGGTTCTGATGGCCCTTTGGGACAGACAGACCATCTGTTAAGGCACAGTGGTGACGTGGGAAAGCTACGATGGCACTCTGGGATCAGAAGACCTGTCCCTTAATGAACAGTGGTGATGCTGGGGATGTGGGGTGGCTTTGATGACTCTCTGGGGATAGAAAAGGCATGGCGTGGCTTTGGTGGCACTTCAGAGTCTGGAGCCCCACCTGTTAAATCAGTGGCGACAGTGGGGATGTGGAGTGGGTTTGGTGTCACTTTACGATGAGAAGACCTGTCCCTTAACACACAGCGGTGACGGAGGGGACTTGGAGTGGTTTTGGTGGCATTTTGGGATCGGGAACTCCATCTCTCAAGGCACAGTGAGGTGGTGAGGAATACGTGGGGTGACTTTGGTAGCACTCTGGGGTCAGGATCCCCATCTGTTAAGGCCAAGTGGTGATGGTGGCTTCGGTGGCACTAAAGCGATCCCCATCCATGAAGGCCAAGTGGTGACATGTGTGCGGCCACTGCTGTGGGGATGCCCTCAGCAGGGCGGGGGCCCTCAGAAGCCCCTGGCCTCGATGCGCAGTGTGACCACGGCTGGCGGCACCTTCTTCTTGAGGCGATTGAAGTCCTTGGCCGAGCGCCACAGCCACGTCTGCAGCTCCTTCAGCAGCCAGAAGTCATCCATCTTCTTCAGAAAGTCGTTGGGGGCTGCAGGGGTGCCAGAGGAGGGCGGGGGTCCGGCGGGGCCTGCGGGCAGCGGGTAGCCCAGGGAAGACATGACGCCGGCGATGCTGAGCACCAGGCCCTGCAGGCTGGAGCAGAAGTGGCCGAGGCGATGGCGCAGCTCCACCGTGCCCACCTGGCCGTCCAGGCCACGCAGATATTTCAGCAGGCGGCTGTAGGCCCGGTAGTTGGCTGCCAGGCGCGCATTGTCCGTCAGGCCCCGCCACAGGTCCAAGTCCACCGTGGCGCTGGGCACCCGCTCAGCCCGCGCCAGCCGCGGGGGGTTGAAGTCGGGCTCATTGAAGGGCGGGCCCAGGTAGTTCAGCTGCAAGGAGGGGAGGAGTTGACAGGGGGCCCACGTGTCCCCGGCACCCACGTCCCACACACCACCAGTCTCTGCGCCCAAGGCACCCCAGGTCTCTGCGTCCCCCTGCACACCACGTCTCAAGTCTCCACGCCACCGTGTCTCCAGTCTCAGATCCCGCTGCCCGTCACGTCCCAGGTCTCCAAGCCCTCCATGTCCCTAGTTCCCCGTGTGCGCAACCACAGGTGTCCACAACCCAGGTCTCCATGTTCCCCAGGTACGGGTGCCCGATACCGCTCCTGTCTCCGTATTTCCCTGCACACCACATTCTCCTTTACATAATTTTCCAGATCTCCACAACCTTCATGCCCCCAGTCTCCCCATGTCTCCCTGCATACAGTACACCCCATGTCCCAGACCTTTGTGTCCTCTACCTGGATGTGCCCACCGTGTCTCCCTGTCCCTATCTTACCCCTGGTTTCCACATTCCCCTGCCCACCATGTCCCTCAGTGCCATGCCCCCATGTCCCCACGTTCACCATGCTCCCCCACATCCCAGGTTTCCATATCCACATCCCCTACCTGGACATGTCACCTTGTCCCCACTGTGCCCCTGGTTTCCATGTCCCCAAGTTCATCATGTCCCTGAGCACCATGGAGGTCCCCAGTCTTCCATGCACCCATATTCCAGGTGTCTGCACCCACATCTCCCACCTGCCCACCGCCTCTATGCAGATGAGGCAACCAGGGGAGCTCAGCCAGAGCTCACCAGCAATGTGGAGACAGCAATTCCACCCTCTCCATTCCCACAGCATGATCATCAGCAGCAAGGGGAGGCAGATCAGGGCAGAGACAGCAAAACCTCCACCTGGGCCGGTGCCACTGGCAGGCAAGGAGAGGTGGGGGGGAGGAGCCAGGGGTGTGAAGATGTTCACACCCTGTGCCAGGACCAGAGTCCAGGGCCTCCGGCACAGGGAGGCTCCCCTGGCCGCTGCCCTTGTCTGATGAGGCATTTCCTTGGCCTCCAGCATGGGTGGAAACACGCAGTCTCATGTATACAGGTGCACTCCCACTTACATCCCAGTGCCGTGCCCTGGGGATGCTGGAGTCTCCCCAAGCTGGGGGGATGAGCAGTTTAAGGGAAGGGGCAGTGGTGAGCTACTCACATAAGTGCCGGCAAGGGTGCGGAGCTGGTGTTCCAGGTAGCGGGTCAGGTCGTAGGTCTTCTGGATGGACTGGCCAGCACCCAGCTCCTCCGTGCCGTTCAGCGCGGGCACCGCCGGCAGATTGCAGAGTGCGGCACACAAAAAGGCAAAGATCCCCCAAGAGTCTCCTGTGGGGACAAGGCACCTCAGAGAGGACCCTCCTGACAAGGGGACCGGGGGCACCCCAGTGCGGTGCGATGGCACCAAGGGCGCTGAGGATGCAGCAGTGCTCCAGTAACTCCACTGCCCACCCCACATCCCCTGGCTCCCCAGGGGGTGGAGACCTAGGGTTTGCCTGCGGCACCTCCTCCACCCATGAGGTGACTGGGGCCGCCCTGCCCTTGGGCGCCGGCACAGCACTCCTGGGACCTCAGGACTCTGTGCTGCCAGTGTGCTCATCACCACCCTGCATATGGGGAAACTGAGGCAGGGAAGGGCTGGGCATGGAGTGGCAGTGCTCAGCACCCAGCACAGGGAACAAGGAGCAGTGCAGCAGGAGCCTCAGGGACACCATGTCGTCCCCACCAGTGCCACCATGCCCATCCGGCATGGCCTCTACTCTGTGCACTGCCGACCATGGGCTGCAGAAACAATCCTTTATATGGTCTCAAGTGAGTGCTGCTTGCTGTGCTCCCGCCGGGACGCCCGGGTTATATTTGGGAACGCCGAGTCACCTACCACCAATGCCGAAGCAGGCTTGGTTGCCTTCCTAAGCACAGCACGCCGGGCGCCCTGCAGGGCTGCAGCAGCACATCTCATCCTCGTCCCTATCCCCATCCCTGCCCTGCTGGGAGCCAGGGGCCAGGCAGGGCTGAAGGCAGCTGGGCACGGAGCAACCTTTACTGAGGCCTCTGCTGGGAAGACCTCAGCTCAGCATGGCACAGCCTGCAGTGGGCTCCCCAGGGAGGCAGGGGCGGCCGGGAGCCCTGCAGTGCCCTCGTGCGTCACCACTCCCCGTCAATTGCTGCTGGGAGGCTTGGGAAGTGAGGAGTAGCCAAGTCCTGGTGACGCACGTGGGCCCACGGGGACATCCCGGCTGCGGCAGCACCAGCTCCAGTGCGTGGCACGCGTCCCGGCTTTGCCCACCCAGCACCGGGCTCACAGTGGCGCATGATGCCCTGCGGGCACGCAGTGCACACAGCGGGATGTGCGTCACGCACACGCGGCACAGCGTGTATGGAAACACCATGGAGCAGTGAGCACCATGCAGGACGTCCCAGCCACGACGTGCCGCGCCATGCGCACGGCAGCACGCATGCTGGTGACCACACGGGTGCCACTCCGTGCCTGCAGCTGTGCCACGTGAAGCTGCCTGTGCACGACCGGTCTGCGGGTCCCGGGATGGTGAGCGTGGTGTGCGACGCTGTGTGCGTGCGAGTGAGCGTGTGAGCGTGGGCTACGGGCGGCAGGGGGGCCGCGTGGCGCTGACTCACCCGCCCCCGGGTGTTTGCTTTGGCTCGGCCCCGGTGCGTCCAAGCCCGGCACAGGCACTCACAGCCCCGCGCGGCGCAGCAGGGCTGGCCGGACCCTCACCCACCACCAGCTCGGGTTTCCAGAGTGGGATTTACACCCGGCCCCAGGCACCGCGTGGCCAAGGCAAACAGAGCTGGGGGGGCTGGGAAAGGGAAGGAGACGGAGCTGGTGGCTCCCGGGCATTGATGAGGATGTGGGCACTGGGGCGTGGATAACCAGAGCTGGGTGACGGTAGGAATCTGCAACCGCGGCGGTGGCAATGACCCGACCGTGGCGCAGCCCTGCTCACTCAGCTGTGGCCTCACGGCCCCGGATGGTTCCCACAGTGGCACAGTCACACTCCCCTGCCCGTCTCTCGGGTGGAAAATGACTCAGCACCAGCGCAAGGCAGCGGCCGCGTTGCCCCTGTGCCAGAGGGAAGGAGGAGACCAGCACAGCTGGATCCCAGTGATGTCAAGAGAAAGAGCCCAAGGATTTCAAAACCGTCCCTGGAGCGGGGCCAGGATGCTCCCAGCCCACGTAAGCAAAGCACAGGGCAGCTCCGGGGCAGGTGGAGAGCTGAGGTGGCCCCCCTGGCAGCGCACGTCACCCCACGCACACGTGCCGGACACTGAGGGGGCCAACAACAAGCGTCAGCAGGACAGCTCATCCGACAGTATCCCTGTGCGTCACAGCAGGGAACGTCACCCGTGGGTGGCCTTGGAGGCGCGGAACAGTGCAGAGCTGTGAGCCCCCCCCCCGCCAAGCAGACCCCCCATGAGCGACTGCTGCCATTGTGCAAGCTGAGCTGTTCCCCGGGCACGCAGTGGGCAGCGAGCTGCTGGGGTCAGGCGTGACCGCAAGCCGCAGGCGCCGCTTTCCCAAAAGCACTGAGCAAAGCAGAGTGTGGGCTGGGGAAAGGGGACCCCTGCCCCCTGAACCCAGGGAGCAGCTCTATCTGATGGGCTAGCGGCCAAGGGACAACAGAGCCCTGCACTGTGAGGTGGAACGGAGCTGGGATGTCCCAGCGTGAGCACGGCGCTGAGGAGCGGGGACCAAGCAGACAGTGGCAGTGGCCTCGGCTGCCCCCAGTGTGGTTCTCCCCACACACCTTCGTGAGGATGGCGCTGACAGCAACACCTGCACCCTCCATCCCTGCAGTCCCCGAGTGCTGGCAGGAGAGAGGCACGCATTCTGCCCTCACTGTGCTTCGACAGTCCTCGAAGCAAGTGGGGAGCAGGGGGGGCCCCCAGACCAATCGCAGCCCCAGCCACAGGGCTCTGTGCCATGCCCCCGCCCCGCTGCCTTACTGAGAGCAAAGCCGCATCCCTGATGGTGGCCAAGAATTGTGCAGGAGCACAGGGGTGCAGGGGGAGACCGGCTCCACACCCCCCTGGCCACGCATGTACTCGCAGCTCACACTGAATGTTTACATCCTGTCTCCTCCGAGTGTTTATAAATGCATCCGTGCATGGGAGACTCCAGCGAGGCCGTAATTAGCGGGGCCTGGATTTCCCATCTGGCCCCAGCCCGCGGCACTGTGTCACCCCCCTCCTGCCGGAGATGGGGGCTCAGCCCCTAATCCTGACCAGATCCCACACCTCGGCTGGCGCCCACCTGGATCCCAGCAGCACCAATGGTGGCAGAGCCCTGTGCGGCCCACCGGCACCCAGAGCCACCGGCACCCCATACCCGCACAGGCACTCAGTGTCCCTGCTGGCACCGCAGACGCCCAAACCCCTCCCGTGTCCCCAGCAGCGCCGAGGGCTGCGGAGCTGTGCTGGGAGCGGCAGCAGAGCCAGGGACAGCGCAGCGCCAGAGGCAGCCTGGCCCCTCTCCGGCCTGCAGCGGAAACGGCTTGCGGGGCCAAGAGCGGGGGGACCGGGGGCTCCCCTGCGGGCAGCACGAGGTGCATGGGGTCACCGTTAAGGAGGCAGGCGGATAGTCCCGGTGCCAGCCCGTGTGGCAACACAGATCCCCACGCACCCCCCACCCCCCGCCGCCTCTGGACGCGCTGCCATCGCTGCCAGCTTCCTCCGGCACCCTGTGCCGAGGGCACACCGGCAGAGGCAGGGCCGGCGGCTCCGGCGGGATCCCCGTGATCTGTGCCAGCCACACGTTCGCCAGCAGTGCCAGGTATGGGTGCACACCCGTCACCAGGGATACCCGGAGCCGGCAGGGCTGGCATGCCGGACATCCCAGATGTGCCAGCACAGGCACACCTCCACATCCCTGCTGGGATGGCTCCATTGGCACTCCGTGGGCGCCCAAGGGGCTGTGGAGTTGGGCTCACTCTTACAGCTCGAGGCAGGTGGGCACGGGGCAGGGGGTGATTTATGGTGCACCGTGCCACTTAGCAGGGCATAAATCTTCCCCGGCGCAACCCTGTAAGCAGAGCCCTCTGCATTTCCCTTCGGAGGCTGCTGGCGGGCTGGGGCTAATGCAGCCCAGATGTGTGCAGGACCGTGCCCTCACGCCGCCTGCTAACGAGGCGCAGGGACACCGCTTCCCGGCAGCAGCACGGCAGCCCTGAGCCGTGTCTCCGGGCTGTCACTGGGCTGCTCTCGGCCTCGACCGTGGCAGCAGCTCTTGGTGCCGCCGGCCGTGCTGTGAGCGCAGGCCACGGCCGGCAGCCTCCCGGTGCCACTGGTTTGCCACCACCTCCACCATGTCGGGCCAGGATCAGGGAGCAGCGGGAGACCCCTGGCTACCAGCCCCGCTTTTCCAGCTCCCCCCAAATGGCTCCGGCTCCACGGGAGCCAGAACAAAACGTGGCCTCGGCCTCGTGTGCCCAGCCCCGGGGCCACCAGCGCCCACAGTCTGACCTTTTAAGGGTTGTTTCCCAACTTTTTCCCCGTCCTTTCCGTGCCCGGCAGCCCCGCTGCCCTTGGCTCCCCATGGCCCCAGGGTAACAAAGCCTTCTGGTGGCCGGAGGGAGCTCCGCAGAGGGGGGGGATTTCCTGGCACCCTGAAAGCGGCCACCACGTCCCACTGGGTATTGCCCTCTGTGGTGCCCGCCTGCCCCACGAGTAAAAGCCAAGCTTGGGGACTTTCCTTTTTCCTCCCCTCTGTCAGTCTCAGGTTTTAATTCTCCATGCTAAGCAGCGTTTCCCTGCCCGGTAATCACAAACATGCATGGAAAAGAGGCAACAAGAGAAAGGAGAAAAAAAAAAAAGCCCCGAGAGCAGAGGGGGGAAAAGCCTTAAATCAATCCCGAAGCCAGACGGACGTTTGAATCAAACGGAGTTACAGTCGGCAGCAGTCGGCGCGGCGGACCCCCACCCCATGGCCCCGCTCTTACCTGGGGGCTCCCCAGCCACATTTAGCATAGTAGAGTCAGGGCGCGGGTCTGCAGGCGTGGGGAGCCCAGCAATGTGCTGCTGCAGCGCTCAGCCCCGCACCGATGGACACACGGCCGAGGTTGCTGCTCCGCTCTGCCCCGGCTCTCCTTTGGTTTTTTTTTCCTCTCTCCCTATTTGTTTTGGTTTGTGTTTGCTTGAGTGTTAGGTGGCAGAAGCAGTCTGGGCAGCGTGTTTTTGGTGTGTGAGTGTGTGCACGGTTCGCACCACGCTCCGGCTCCCTTGCTTGCTGCCTTTCCCCCTTCCACCTCCCTTGATTTGCTCTTTTGATTGGTGTCCAGGAATGCAAGAATAAAAAAAACGCGAGCTTGCATACACCCTCTCTCCAAGCTGCTGCCTCTCTTTTTTTTCTTTTTTTTTCTTCCCTCTTTTTTTTTTTTTTTTTTTTTTTCCTCCTCTCTCTCTCGAAATTCAAGTGTTAAGCAGAACCAGGTTGCTTTCAAGAATGTATTTGATGCAATTGGACACAAGAACGGGCTCCATTCATTCCCCTCCTTCTCCCCGAGACTCCCCCAGGGCTCCCCAGGCATGCTGGGGAGGCTGTGGCCACAGCAGGCTCCCCCGAGGCAGGGAGCAAAGCCCAAGTACTGGGGGTCTGCGGTAGACGGGGTGAGGGGGGGGAGTGACTCCCTCTCCACATCACCCCCCCAGGTGCTGGCTGCCTCTTGCCTTTTGTTAGTGGCCGCGATAGGGAGCAGGACAGGGTGGCGGGCGGGGGGCTGCTTCCTACCTGCTCGGAAATCCATGGGGGCAACCCAGGGGGTGGCAGCAGCACGGGGTTGGGGGGGGATCCCGCCCTCCGTACTGGGGGTGCCGTGGGGCTGCTCGCGCCGGGTCCGAGCTCCACACTCCCATTTGTCGGCCCTGCTCCCCACGGGGGCCCGGGGCCGGCAGGCCAGGGGCTGCGGGCTGCCTGAGTGCTCTCACCGCCTCGGAGAGGGGATGGCCCACGAGGGGGGGCGGGGGGTGCCAGGCAAGGGAGGGGGGGAGGCGGAGAGAGGCGGCGGAGGGGTGGAAAGGCGGCAGGGAGGGCGGGAAATAGGGGGACGGGGCAGCGCGGCTGGACAGGCACGGCTACGCGGACCACCGGCATAACTCTGCTTTCTTCTGCTGGCAGCTCAGGGGCAGAGGCAGGTGAGTGAGCCCCGGGGCGGAGCCCCTCGGGAAGCACTAAGCAGCGGGGCCAGCAGGTGACTGCAGCCAAGGGCAGCACACACAGCCCGGCATTGCCCCGTGCACCAGGTGCCTTCCCGCTGCTCTCTCCCCCCACCCAGCATCTTCCCCGTGGGGCTGCCGGCTGCCAGCAGCCAGAGTGGAGGAGCAGCCCCAGGAAGGTGCAGCGCCGCTCTGGTTGCCACCGGCACGCAACAAACAAGGGGGAATTTCATACTGGGGATGCGGGGCCGGCACCCCGGTGTGTACACGAAGCACTGGGTGCCAGGTGGAGATGCACGGCCAGGATGGACAGACAGAAGACAAGACCCTTGTGAATCACACACAGCAGTGCTGCTACACGTCCCCTCGGCAGCAGGGCAAAGCTTCGGCAGCCCCAGTGCTAAGGGGAATGTCCCCACCTCTGCCAGCCGCCCCAAAGCGTTGGGGAGTGCCCGGCAGGGCTGCAGCTGCAGGCACAAGCATGATACCGCTGCCCCTGCACACGTGCCAGGGGATCCCAGGGACTCGCCCCACAGCGTCGGGGAGCTGCTCACCTCCCCCTGGCCACCACGACAGAGCTGCCTGCTGACACACTGTGCTCTGGCTGCGTGTTTTCCCCCTCAGCCTTCAGACCCCTGGAATGCAGGTTCAGGAGAGCCGTGCCCCTGCCCACGGCCACGGCACCGGCAGCCACTTCGCCCTCGCCTCCCACCGACGACCTTTTGCAGTACCAGGAAGGGTTCTGACCCCAAACACCCACAGCCCCGGATGCTGGGAGGCTCTCCATTGTGCGCTGAGGAAGGCAGCCGGCTCCAACTGGTGCACAGGGGAGCCCCGGCCCCCCCTGCATTGCGGACAACTGGTGGGGAGCTGCTAAGGGCCCAAAGGCCTCAAGGCCCCGTGGGTAGAGCAGGAGGAAGAGCAGCTGCGGCTCACGGCACAGCACTGCTGACGGCACAGCGTGACCCACGGCGGCAGAGCCAGCCCACGGCACTCACCTACAGGCACTGCAGACAACTGAGCAGCCCTTCCGCGTCGGGTAGTAGGAAAGGCGCAGCACCGAAATTGGGCTGCGGGAAACCAGAGAGGCCCGGAGAAAGCCCCGCCTGAGGCGGAGGGCCTGGGGGGAAAACCGCGCCCGGGCCGGCGCCGCGCGGCACCCCACCCGACCCACGAGTCCCCATCGCCTGAGGGGAGCGCACTCGGCCTCTCCCCGCCTCTGCTCCTCGAGGCCCCATTGGCTACACGGCACGTCGCTCCGGCCACTCTCCAATCCGCGGTGGCGCCTGTGTTCCACCACCCAATAGCGAGCGGGCCGGCCGGAGAGGGCCCGCCCCCGAGCGCTCCGAGGGGCGGAGGGGGCAGGGCTGGGAGCGAGGCCCTGCCCCCGGTATCACGTGAGGCACTGCCCGCGGCTTGGACGCCGTCACGAGGCCGGGGCCACCAATGGGCCGCCGGCGGGGGCGGGAAGAAGGCGAGCTTCCGCCCAATGGGAGTGCGGCGGGCGCGGGAGTGGGGAAGGTGGCGGCGCAGCGCGGCAGTGAGGCGGGCGGGGGCTCCGCGGGGCCGGTGGGGGCGCAGGGGCGGGCGGGGCCGCGCAGGGCGCTGCCGGGGGGGCGCTGCGGGAGGCGGACGCGACCACCGAGCGTCGGGAGGGGGAGAGGCGGGGCCACCAGCCGGCCCCCCGAGGGGGTGGGGGGCGCGGCCTGGCGGGCCGGCCCTCCACGTGCTTTCCCCGCATCCCCGTCGCCATGAAGTGCGTCATCGAAGGCGGCAACGTGAAAGGTGGGATGGGGAGGCGGAGGGGGGCCGCGGGGTGCCGTCTGCCCCCATCTGACCCCCCCTCCACCCACAGCCCTCGGCCATGCCGTGCACGCGCTGTCCCGTGTCGGCGACCACCTCTACCTGGAGCCCTCTGACACTGGGGTATGGGCACAGGGGGATGCCGGGACGTGGCTGTGGCGCCCCCCGGTGCCCGGTGCCATCCCCTGTCCGTCCTCAGCTGTCCCTGCGTGCCGCCAGTGCCTCCCGCTCCGCCTTTGCCTCCTTTTTCTTCATGCCGCTATTCTTCCAGCGTTACGAGCCAGGCCCCCCCAGCACCCGCTGCAAGGTGCTGATGAAGGTGCAGACCCCCCCAGGTCCCCCTACGTCTGTGCCTCCAGGAGGGACAGGCAGTGATGCTGTCCTTATCCCCAGTCCTTCCTGGGCGTGTTCCGCTCGCTGCCAACTCTGGACAAGTCGGTGGAGCGCTGCCTGGTGGTGCTGCGGCCCTGCGCTGGGCACCTGGTGTTACAGCTGCACTGCAAGCACGGTGAGGGGGAGGTGACAGCACTGGGGGGGTCACGGGGCTACAGCGGGGCTTAATGAGGCTGTCCTGCAGGTGTCACCCGCACCCACCAGCTGGCCTTCCAGGAGTGTGAGCGGCTGCAGGCCGTCTTCGACACGCAGAGCTGCGCCAGCCGGCTGCGTGCTCCTGCACAGTGAGTGCTGGGGGATGTGGGGTGGGGGCCGCTGGGGGGGTCATGGTGCTGAGTGCCCTCACTGCAGGGTGCTGGCGGAGGCGGTGGTGCACTTCCCGCAGACGCTGGCAGAGGTGACGCTGGGAGCTGCTGCTGGGGGCCGAATCGGGCTGCGCAGCCATCTGGAGGAGGGCAGTGGTGAGTGGGGATGGGGCACAGGGACAGGGAGGGGTCTGCTGGAGCTGGCACTGACTGCTGCACTGTAGAGCCCGGCAAGGCCATGGTGACAGAGCTGTGGTTGGCGCCGGATGAGTTCCAGGAGGTGGCAGTCGTGCCCGGCTCCTGCATCACTTTCTGTCTCAAGGAGTTCAGGGTGAGTGTGACCGTGACCCTATGCCCCACATCCCGGTGGCCCCTCAGACCCACTAAGCCCCATCTCCCCCCAGGGGCTCCTGAGCTTCGCCGAGGCCTCCAGCCTGCCCCTCACCATCCACTATGATGAGCCCGGCAGGTAGGAGCCAACGCCACAGTGTCCCTCATTCACCCAGACCCATCCTTCAGGACTTCCCACAGTCCATGTGTGCCCCCAGGCCAGCCATCTTTAGCCTGGATGACTCCCTGATGGAGGCACACCTTGTCCTGGCCACCCTCCTGGACCCAGAGAGCGACTCGCAGCCACCCCTTGCCGCCAATGGGTAACGGCCATCAGACAGGATCAGAGTGAATGGCCCCATGCTGCCAGCACTGGAGACTAGTGTACAGTCCTAATGCTGCCTGACATTTACTCACTCACTGTCCCCTCCAGCAGCGTCTCCCACCCACCTCCCCCCTCGGATGACTTTGCTGATGACCTTGAGACCTACATGGTGGCCTTGGAAAGTAGTGCCTGTGAAGGGGAGGCAGGGGCACCCCCCAGCCCCACCTTCTCCCTGCACACACCTCACCCTGCAAAAAGTGACGCTGAGGAGGAGGAGGATGGAGCTGTGCCAGGGACACCCCCTCACAAGAAGGTGTGGCATGGGCACTGACGTGGGGGGGGGGTAGAGGACTAGCATGGACCTCTGACCCTATGTCTTTTCACTCCCCAAGTTCCGCTCGCTGTTTTTTGGTTCTGTGCTGACACCAAGGGGGCCTGGCCCAGCCCCCAGCCAGGAGGTATTGGCAGAGGACAGCGATGCTGAGTGCTGAGAGCCCCCATTCCGATGCCACAGCGCAGCAGCTGGCACTGTCTGGCCATGCAGGATAATCCCAAACCCACATCTTAAGACCCATTACAAGTTTATTCCCCAAAAAAGCCTCCTGCCCTGCCTCCACTGCCATCCAAGGGGCAGGTCCTGCCCCAGAGGGCGCATTTGGTACAGTAGAAAGTGGCAGGGGGGACAGGATCTTACAAATAAAAAAACAAATGGAGAGAGGAGCAACCTGGTGCTGGGGCTGCTGGTGACGGGCACTCACTTCTTGGCTTTCGCAGAGTTGCGTGGCGGGGTGACAGGGCGGCCAGCGGGGTTCAGCCCACTGAACTGCCCATACTTGCCCTTGTTCTTGTCTGCCGGTTTCAGAATCTGCGGGGAAGAGGGTGAGCGGGGGGGCTGCGGGCAGAGCCCTGCGTGCTGCCGCCTCCCCAGCAAAGCCCTGACTCACCTGGAAGGAACACATGAGAGTCTCATCCACGCTCATCATGGCGCCTGCGTTGTCAAACTCCCCGCAGTAGTTGGGTGCAGAGAAGAGGGTGACGAGCTGGCGCTTGGCAAAGAACTCGTAGCCATCCTCCACCACCTGCAGGGCGGCAGCACTCAGATCTCCCTGTGCCCTGTCCACGGGGCCCACAAACCCCCCAGGGGACAGCATCCCCCTCAAAAGAGCCCGACCACATCCTCAAGTGTAAATGTCCGCTCCTGGGAAAAACTCCACTGGTGTGGAGCTGGGTGGGGCCTGAGCCCAGTACCTGGTGTGCCCGGCAGATGAGATCCAGGTCGTGCTTGTGCAGGAACTTGGCCACCACCTCAGCCCCAAAGGTGAAGGAGACACCGCGGTCGTTCTCGCCCCAGCCCTGCACATCCTTGTCAGGGTCAGACCAGAGCAGATCACACAGCAGGCCCTGGTCAGGCACGTCTGTGGGTCGCATGATGCGCCGGATCTGCTCCATCGACTGCAGGTCAGGGGACAGCCCTGCATGGGATAGGAGCATCAGGTTATGCTGTAGGGCAGCCTCTGAACCCAGGCAGCATCCCCAGCCCCGTGCCCACCTCCGTGGCAGCAGAAGATCTTCTCATCCACAATGGCAGCAATGGGCAAGCAGTTGAAGCAGTCGGTGAAGGTCTTCCACAGCTTGATGTTGTATCGCCGCTTGCCTGTAAGGCAGCAGGGTGGGTGCTCACAGGAGCCCTTCCTGCGGGCTATGCTCCACCTTCTACACCCCCCCATGTCCCACACTGCACACAGGGTGGCACTGAACCTTCCAGGGGGGTAGGAGGCCATGGAGGTGGCTGGGATGGGGGCATGAGGTCTGCAGGAGATGGAAGAGCTGCAGACAGGGACGGCAGTGGGGACTTCAGGCTGACTGCATGTATGGGGTTGGTACTGGGGTGAGAAGGCGGGGGCAGTCCTGTTTGTCAGCAGTGGGGTCGGTGTGGCACTCACACTCGTCATAGAAGCCATAGATGCGGTTGATGCTGGCACACTCATGGTTGCCACGCAGCAGGAAGAAGTTCTCAGGGTACTTGATCTTGTAGGCCAGCAGCAGGCAGATGGTCTCCAGCGACTGTTTGCCCCGGTCCACGTAGTCACCCAGAAACAGGTAGTTGCTCTCGGGGGGAAAGCCCCCGTACTCAAAGAGCCGCAGCAAGTCGTAGTACTGCCCGTGGATGTCACCTGTCAGAGGATCGCAGGGGACACACAGTGACGCTGGCACCCAGCCCACCCCCTTCCCGTCCCCCCCGGCCTGCTGCTCACCACAGATCTTGAGGGGGGCTTCCAGCTCCAGCAGGATGGGCTGGCTCAGGAATATCTCCCGTGACTTCAGGCACAGCCCCCGGATCTCGTTCTCTGTCAGCTGTACGTTCTTCCCCGGCCGTGAGCCTTGCACTGTGCAGGGGTGGCCTTCAGCGAGACCCACTCCAGCCCCGGAGCTCCCGGAGACAGCTGTGTCCCAGCAGTCCCGCGTAGCCCCCAGGGCCCCCGGCCCTCTACAGCCCCCCGCTCACCCGCAGCCCTTCTCTTTCCCACAGCCTCCCGGATCCCCCCACGGCCCCCACCCCCCGGCTCCCCACCAGTCCCCCGAGGCTCCACGGCCCCCCCGATCCCCCGCAGCTCCCCGGTGCCCCGCAGCCCCCATACTGCCATTGCTCCCCGCGGCCCACGTTTCCCCGCGGGCCCCGGCTCTCACCCCCGCCCTCCAGCTCAGCGGCTGGAGGCAGAGCCCTCGCGGCACACCCCGGCCCTTCCCGCCCCTAGCCGCGCCCAAGGTCGTCTCGAAGCCCACCGCTCACCCTCCAGGAGGCGGCCGATGATGGAGTCGAGGTTGAGCTTCTCGGTGTCCGCCATGGCCGCCGGACGCTGCTTCCCCCCCGGCCCCGGCCCGCCCCGGCCCCGGCCCCGCAGCCATAGAGAGCGGCCGGGGCGAGCGGCGGGTGGGGAGGGCGCCCCCTGCCGGATCGGAGGCCGCGGAGGCGCGTCGTGGCTCCGCGCTCCCACGGGGCGCTGCCGGGACGGCCGCGCCGTGCCGTTCGTTGCCCGGAGGCCGTTGCTACACTCGCGGCGCGGGGACACGCGTGGGGAGCTCCGCGGGGACGCGTACCAGCGGTGCCACTTGCGCCACGGGCTCCGCCTGCGTCACTTGTGCCATTTGTGCATCAGTGCCACTTGTGCCGCCATGCCGCTGCTGCAACCCCCCACGTGCCATGCGAGCCGTGCGGTGCCGCCAGACCCTGGCCCGGCGCCCGTGGTGACATTTCAGCCCCGCGGTGTCAGCTGCGCTGCTGTCCCCGACCGACCCCAGCAACTGTCCCTGGCTCCGGTGCCGGCTGCGTGCCCCGCTGCTCGTGTCCTGTGTCCCCAAATCCGTGCAGCCTCACATCCCGCTGTTGTCATATCCCCATGTCTCCGTGTCCCGTGTCCTCGAATCCAGCCGTCCCCATTCCGACATTCCTCAGCCGCCATGTCCCCTATTCTCAAATCCCGTTTCCCATATCCTTGCGTTCCCTTACCTCCATATCCTCCTATCCACCTGTTGCCACATCCCCATACCCTTGTCTCCACGTATCCTCATATTCCCAAATCCTCGCTTCCCCAAATTCCTGTAACCCCATAAACCTTTCTCCCCAGGCCTCCATGTGCCCCATCTCCATTTCCCCATACTTCTATGCCCCATATACTCGTGCCCCCGCATCCTCACTTCCACGCCCCCATAGTTCCCTCACACCCCACACGCCTGAACCCAGGTGCCCGCACACCCCGCACATCCTTCGACCCCTCTCCCCCGCCTCCCCGCCCCGCCCTGCTCCCTCCCCCGGGGACGCCCCTCTGCCTCTGGAGGCGCCTTCGCCGCCGGTGCAGAACGGGCGAAGCTCCGCGGGCACCGCCGCCACAGCCGCCCGACAGCGACAGCGACCGCCGGTGGGTGCGGGCGGCGGCGGCACCACGCGTGTCAGTGGGTGTTCGCGTGCGCTGTGCCACGCGTGTCCGGCGGTGAAATCGCGGGCAGCCGTCGCGCTAAGCCGAGGGACGTGCGGGGCGGCACCGCGCGGCGCCGGGGACGGGCGGGTGGAAGCCGGGGACAATAGCTCTCTGTGCCGCTAAGCCGGGGCACGGGGCTACCCCACTGCCAGCTACCACGCGTGACTACGGGCACGGCTCGTCCCCGCGGGGCCGCGGGGCCGCGCGTGCCTCGGTTTCCCTCCGAGCGCACCGTGGCACCGCGGGGCGGCTGACCGCGCCGGCCGCGTCCCGCTCACTGTAACCCCCCTCCCGTCTCTTGCAGCCCTCCGACGCCCGCGGCATGGTGAGTGGTGGCACGGGGCGTGAGGGCAGGGGGCCCCTTCCCCTTCTCGGCGGGGCTGGGCGGTGCCGGCGCTCCGTGTGGCAGCGCCGTGCCCACCGCCTCCGCGTGACCCTGCGGGGACAAGGGGACGCTTTGTCCGGGGGCTGGCACCGCTCCCGGGCACCCCGACACCACCGCCCCAGCGACGTCCCTTGGCTGCCCGATGCCCCCCCTGAACCTACGGCCCTCGTGCCCGTTGCGGTGCCCGTTGCGGTGCCAGCTCGGCCGTGCCCTGTGACAGCTCTCAGTGGACCAGCTGAGCACGGAGCAGGCTCTGGGCATGAAGGAGCAGGAGTGGACCGGCCCCGAGGCGCTGTGCCCGGGCTGGCAGGAGGAGGAAGTGTCCGACGGCGAGGGACCCGAGGACAGCGAGCACCCCGACCCCACTGCCCATGCCTATGAGGTGCTGCAGCGCACCCTGCGCCTGGAGGGGATGCCCCTCACCGTAGACCGCACCGGCCAGCCGCGCTCTGGTATGGGTATGGGAGGCACTGGTATGGGTATGGGTGGCACAGGGTGGTGGGGTGCTGGGATAGGGCAGTACAGAGTCTTGGTGTGGCCTGGGGATGCAGTGCCAGGCTGGGGTTGTGGTACAGCACCATGGTGCCAAGCTGGGGACACCAGGCTGCTAAGAGGTGGGTTGGCAGCAGGGCACAGTGCTGGTGTCTTGCCAGAAGAAAGTTTATAGGACTTTCTTCTTTTCGCTCTGTTAGTGTGGCACACCTGGCCCAGCAGTTAAGCCAGCAGGAGGTGGTGCCTTCATTGCCACACAAAGCATTATCACCTTTGGCAGTGGCAGGTCCTTCAAGCTGCACCCTGAAAAAGACTGCTTGTCCCCTATCTGCTTATGTTTACAATCGTGAGCAGCAGTCCTGGAGCACGGTGGCACCCACCACTTGCCCCTCTAGATAATTAGCAGTTGTCAGTCTTATCACCGAAAAGGCCTCACGAAGCGAGCTTGGTGACAAAAAAGAACAGTTTTGTGTTTCATAGCTGGGCTGGGGACTGTGGTGCCAGCTTGGGGTTGTGGTGCTGGGCTGGGGTCACAGTGCCGGGCTGAGGACACGGGCTGCTCACATGGGGTGGCAGCAGGTCCCATGCACCCTACCACTGCCTTGCTGCAGGATTTGGCCAGCTGGATATGACTGTGTGCATCCTGGGCTCCCCCACCGCCTTCCTGCCCATCTTGCTGGAGGGTGGCTCCCGCTGCCCAGGTGAGTATGGCCCTGTCCCCCAGGCCTGGCTGCCAACAGCCCCCCTGGTGTATGGGGACACAGCCACTGCTCATCCCGTGCCACCCACAGGTGCCATGGTGCTGTGCCTGGCACCTGCCTGGGCCAGCCGCGTACCCTCAGAGACATCACCAGGCGCGTGGTCCCTGCTGCTCTCCAGGGGGGTCTCCTTCGAGGCAGGGGGCTGCACTGCCCTGGAAGAATTTGTGCCTCCCCGGCGTGCTACTTACGTCACTGGCACCTTTGGGTCGGAGGGCAGTTGGGAGGGTGAGCTGGCCCGTGACCTTGATTGCCCTACTGGAGGCTCAGCACCACTGGCACGCTGGCTGGAGGACCCCCTGCTCTCTCGCTGGTTGCTGTCTGCCCGTGCCGGCCTGCCTGTGCCCCCCACCCTGGCCTTCACCACGGGGCTGTGGGAGACCCTGCCTGAGGAGCCCAAACCCCCCGGGGTGCGCCTGGTGAGGCTGCAGGACCCCCGTGGCCAGGAGAGCCTGGTGCAGGATGAGGTGGACGCCTTCCTGGAGGGCAGCACCATGCAGCCCTATGATCAGGTGGGGACAGCAGGGGGGACATGGCACAATGTGGGGGAGGGGGGTGGCAGAGGGGGGGACAGAGTGTCACGATGCTCGGGTGGAGTGGGTTGGGATGACATGGGACAGGGTGACATGGTGCTGCATGGGACAGGGGTGGCAGGGTGGTACAGTCTGGTGGCGTGGGGTAACATGGCACTGCAGGGGACAGGGTGGCATGCAGTGCTGTGAAAGGGTGGCATGGGGTGACACTGCCCTGCACACAGGTGGCAGTGCGGCTGTCAGGGTGGCGGTGGCGTGGAACGGACCCTCGCAGCACCCACAGGAAGGTGGAGGGCAAGGCAGTGGCACAGGCAGTGGCAGCCCTGCTGAAGGGCCTACGTGAGGAGGAGAGCGTCCTGCTGGAAGCCCTGGTGCCCACCGGCCGCCTGCCCACGCTGCCCCCACGTAAGACCCCCCTCGGGTACCCACCACTCAGGAAGGGCTTCTGGGGGCTCCCTCGTGTCCGCTCGTGGGTGGGAGGTGGCCACCTCGGACTCAGTCCCTAAGGGTGGGGGGAACGTAACCTGCCCCTCCTGTCCCCTGGGCTGGGGGTGAGCATGGCACTGGGGGGGGACCGTCCTTGGCCATTCCCTGGGGCTGGGGCACCGCAGGGTGAGCTGGGGGCTGCGGGTGGGATGCTGCTGTCCCTGCCCTGTCCCTCACCCCTCAGGCAGCGCAGCCCCGCGGCTGCCCATGGCCCTGCGCATCTGCACCGTCGTCTGCCGGTCCTGGGGAGACCGGCCCCAGCTCTGCCAGGTACGGTCTGGGGACGGGGCTGGCGGGTACACACCCGTGCGTGGCATCCGAAGCCTCCACCCCCTTTCCTGCAGCCCCTCTCCTTGGGCCAGGTGTGGCTGGGGGTGGCTGCGAGCATCCCCTGCCCCGCGCTCTGGGTGCCAGCACAAGGCCCCATGAGTCCCCGTGTCCCAGGGGCTGGCAGCCCACATCCCTGCCTCGGGGACACCCACCTGCATCCCAGTGTCACCCTGTGTCCTCTTGGTGGCGTGTCCCCACAGGTGGCCTGTACTGTGGGGCGGGCAGAGGTGCCGGTGCGGCACGGTTCGCTGCTGCCCTTGGGCCTGGACTCCAGCCTGCGGCAGTGGGGCCTGGCAGATGCGGCACAGCGGCAGGCACTGGCAGGGCGGCTGCGGGAGGCCGCCGAAGCCAGCATGGCTGCCGTCCTAGCTGCGGAGGGCGAGCTGAGCCCCGCTCAACGTGGCGGTGCCCGTGCCCGCACCGACGTCCTTGGTGAGCTCTTACCTCGGCCTGCTCCCTTGGAGGCAAGTGGGGCTGGTGGCCTTGTGGCACTGAGTGCTCTGTGTCCCCAAGGTGTGGATTTCCTGTTGGCGTGCGTGGATGACACCCTGGAATTGGTGGCCCTCTCTACCAACTGCCTGCGCTGCCTGGAGACGTGCCTGCTGGTTGAGGGCATGGGGCATGATGTGGGGCAGCCTGCCGGAGACGTGCCGCGACTGCTGGCCGAGTGCCTGCTGCACCGGGCGCAGTGCCGCCTAGTTGAAGGCAAGGACATCCTGCTGATTGGGGCTGGAGGAGCCAGCAAGAGCTTCGTCTGGGAGGCAGCACGCGAGTACGGCCTGCGGGTGAGCAGATTGGGCCAACAGTAGGCTTCAGAGTGAACGCTGGGTGCTGTGGCTTTCAGTAGGCTTCAGAGTGAACGCTGGGTGCTGTGGCTTTCAGTAGGCTTCAGAGTGAAAGCGAAGCTAGGGAATGACACCGGGAATGAACAAAGAGGACCTGTAATGGCTGGGGTCAGGGAAGCTAGGATA